TACCAGTGAATGGTGCAAGACCGTAAGGTGTGAAAGGTGTGACAGTTGGAATCACACAGCAGATGACATGGGTGAATTCGGCATGCCAGTGGTAATCGTACCGTGGATAAGCCACGCATATTTGTTGATCACTAATAAAAAAAATGGAATATTGTATTGGACGCCAATACCAATAAACAGTCTGCTCTAAATTCTTGCAGGTTTTGCGCTGCTGACAACATTTGTGCGTAAAAAATGACCACGCGGCTTTAAACTGCAAAATCATGGCCAATCTATCACGCGCAAATGTTGTCATCACCGCAAAGCCACTATATCGCACTTTTTACTACACTATGCAGGTAATTACTTACTTTGACGACTGCTCGCACGTTTCGCACGGTTTTGTGCAAGGAGGAAGCATTTTATTTGGATCCTCTGTCTCCTTTCGCGACAACGTGAACTGAACTTTTCCTTTGTAGATCGGATGACGTATAGTAGTTCGCAGTGCTGGAAACAAACTTTTTGAGAGAGACTAATTACATCCACAAAGAAGGCTTACCGCTCCACTGATATCTAATGGGGCCCAACCATCGGAAGCGTTCCGAGTCTCGAAGCACATCTCCCAGCCAACCGTATGAGATCGCATTTGCCGAGATTCGTATCAGATGGTTCTGTTTGTGTACTGTGCAAACGTCCACGTTACATTCGGAACCTGTAACAATCAATTAGCCACCACTTCTAGTGTGTTGCTAGTGCATACATAAAATTCAGAAACATCCTGGAACCAGCTACGCCACTTCCCAGATCAAACGACATTCTTAAAACCGTTGCGTCGATTCTAACGGAATTTATTAATTTTTCTCACAATTTTCATCAAAGAAACTTACGAAAACCATGATAATGAGGTCGTTCGCCTCTCCCTTTCCAAAATTGGAAAATTTTATTCCACTTACAATATTTAGATGACTTGTGACGTGTTTGGTGCATTTAGCAAAGACCATTAGCGATTTGATTTTAGGACGACTGCTTAGTGCCAACTTGGCTTGGGCGTTTAAGATCGGCAATGACCATCCTGACGAGAAGGCCAAAAACTGATTTTGTTCCTGATTTTGATAGAGAAGACCTTGAAATTAAGCAAAGCAAGGAAGGTTAGCACCATTCCTTGTCACAAAACAATTTGGTAGACAACTAGATTACTATCCTCCCAAAATTTTATTTTTGCTGCAACTTCTTTAGTATGTTGTTAGAGTCTGGTCACGGCAATCCAACCAATACTTCATCTCCTTGATACTTTTCAGCACTTTCTATTTATATTTTCACAAAGAATTTGTCTTAGCGATTAGTATGGAAAGTATCTTACCAATAGCAATATGAACTGCAGCCGTGGCAAAATCAGACGTTTCATGAACGGTGCTTACTATTGAATTGGCTGAGCCTGCGCCAATGATTCCAAAGCGAATATGAGGTGTTTGTAGTTGTTCTGTGGCCGGATCATCAATGTTCATTCCTAGAAAAATGTGGCCTATCCGTCCGTGCACGATCCCATCCAGTCACAAGCAAACTTACCAGCTTCCAGCTGTGTACGTAAAAGGGCTCCGGATAAAAGCTCATTGAAAAGCCCATCACCACCCACTGAGACCTAAATCCATATACTCAGCATGTTCGTCTGTTCAAGCGCCCCCTATGAAGTCTAGCAAAAAGGATGAATTCCTCACCAAGCCGTCTATGGATTGCCACCGTTCTGCCGGCATTTCCATGATATGGTCACGAGCATGGTTTGCTCTTTG